CTCTCTCTCTCTCTCTCTCTCTCTCTCTCCCTCCCTCCCTCCCTCTCTCTCTCTCTCTCTCTCTCTCTCTCTCTCCTCTCTCTCTCTCTCTCTCTCTCTCTGGATATTTTTCATTAAAATATCCAGCAGCAATCATGTAAGTGATGAATTTGCTACTATCTTTCTTTAGAAAATTGTACTAATACAAAATGTAAAATTGAAAGCATCAAGGCCCAGTGTCATCATGTTTAGCTATACTGGGGAACATCCATCAAACATCATTCATTGTTATTTGTAATGAAAAGGTAGAGGTTATGCTGCATTCTTTACACATCTCATCACACAGATTTTACATTACTTGATATAGGTTATTTGTGACTACTCTAGAGGTGAATATTAATCCATTTGAGAATAGGATAGTTGATAGAAAATAAATTGGATAGATTAGAATAATGGTGGAGTGACATGGTATACAGGTATGCCCTAAAATGAACATTTTTCATTTTCAGTCTTACTTCCTCGCCTGTGCCGTGTGATAATGGCTGGAAAGCAAAATGAAGAAGATGGTATTATTTTTGCTCTGGAGGTTCTAGATGTCTACTCTGTACTAACTTGCTGCCAATTGCCAGACCACGTTATTGCTCACTTTGTACTCCCACCACTTCATCAGGTAATGTTGCTGGCAAGGTGGTCATGGATAGTGTATGATAATGGTGCTTATATCATGCATATTCCAAATCTGTTTCTTATATAGGTTTGCTATAACTCCTTTCATTCTTTCTTCCATACTGTTTTTTATATTGATACTGATATTCCTTAATCTTTTTCAGCTCCAAAAAACCTTGGGCTGTTTAACATTTGAACACATGGAAACTATAACTGACTTGATAAGAGAGTATGATTTAAGAGGTCAGTCTTCACAGGGACTAGAAAGGTAAATACAATATATAATTTAGTTAAACTGTTACACATTATTTAGCTATGAGTTTCACAACTTTGTGGGGTAGTACCAGTTCCATGAAATATTAATTATGGTAATTTGCCTTTTTCTGGAAGTAGCTGTTGCAGAGTTCTTTGTGATGGTTGTTAAGAAGCTGTGAATAAGAAGATTTTTTTTTCTTCTTCTTCTTAAAGTTATCTTGTATAACTTCTTGGATGCGGATGCTTCACTATCCACACGTCTGAGAGAGACAGCTCTCTTCCAGTCATGGTTTATGGGTGGTACAATCCACACTGAAAATAATGCAAAAGGCCTTTTCTAAATGCCCACTGAGTCTAATCATCCTCCAAGAGGTTTGTGCACTCATGATGATGGAAGGTTAACATCACCCTGGGCTTAAGCCAAATTTTCCCATGACAGCATGTTCACACCACTCACCACTCAAGCCAAATTTTTTCTTGACTTGATGGTCACATCATCCAGGGGTTAAGGGGTTAAGAAATACCATGTTCATGACACTGATTGCATATGTCTGTGAAAATCAAGTAAATACATACAAAATCATTAAATGCAACTTGACAGCTTGTATTGTTTGAATTGTTGCCTTTCAAAGATTACTCACATAGCTAGTCTAGTAATGGCCTACTAGACTAGCATGTGTCAAGAACTAGTAGTATCTCTTGATGACTATGTCACATTCTCCCTGTCTGTTTGGCATGCCATGATGTCAAGGTGCCCTATATATATCTATCTCCGACTCTATATCTCTATCTTGATTATATCTATATATATATATATATATATAATATATATCGTTCATTTGATGATATCTATCTAATTTGATATATATATATAGATATACTTTCAATTTACAGATATATATAATTCTTATATATATATTCTCTATACTATCCTACTCTATATCTCTATATATATTCTCTCTATATCTCTCTCTACCTTTATACATATAATATATATCTTATCATATCTATTATACTTATATTATATCATATTCTATAACTCTATCGCTTCTATAATCTATTATCTATAACTATAGATCTATATCTTATATCTCTATATCCATATCATCTCCTCTATATATATAATATATACTCTACTAATCTATCTCATACATATCTATATCTCTTTTAATTGCTATTGCATATCTCTCCTATATACATCAATAACATAAATACATAACTACATATATAGATCATATATTTAATTGATCTCTATCATCTATTTTTAATTCGGATCTATCTATCATTTCCTTTGGTCGATCAATCCTCTCTATATACATTTGTGATCTCTCTCTCTATATTCTACTTTGATCTCATCCTATATATTTCACTTTTGATATATACTACTCTCTCTTCTACTTTGATTATATCTACATTATTGTCCTTTGCTCTCTCTCTATCTCTTTCCTTTGCTCTCTATATCTCTCTCTTTCCTTTGCTCTCTCTCTCTTTTTCCTTTGCTCTCTCTCTCTCTTCCTTTGGTCTCTCTCTCTCTCTCTCTTTCCTTTGGTCTCTCTCTCTCTCCTCTTTCCTTTGCTCTCTCTCTCTCTCTTTCCTTTGC